TTTAGTGAACCATAGTCTAGCGCCTCTGTGGCATTTTAAGCCTTTGGCTGAGAGTGAATACAGCTTTGTGGTTCCCCTGCTTCTGACATGATTTGGTGCTCCCATATATTTGTAGGTTTCTTTTTTTTTTTTTTTCATTAGAGCTTGTTTGGCTATAGGGCTGCTTAACACTGTTCTCAAACGGCTTTTGCAAGGTTAAAGGAATGCAGCTTGGTAACAAGTTTGTGTCATTTTAAATATATACCTCCCAGTAAATAAGGAGGAGTCTTGCAATCAATCCCTTTTAGTGTGTTATATGTTTCACCTGACAACTAAACCCTCTATTGATTAACCATTACTTTGTTAGATAATCTCGTGTCATTGAAGCCACTGTAAAAATTAAACTCTTTAAAATGTTTTACCCTAGCAGCAGTGTGAAAATTGAAAACTTGTTCAGAATTACAGCCAGCTTCCACAAAGAGGGTAGTTTTCAACAAACTGGTTTATGTTTGCATGCTTTATATGCAATATAAAAACATATTAAAGCACTCCAACGCAAAGCTATCTGCCTGTGGTGTTGAACCAGGCTACCATTTCAGACTACTTTTCCTTGATGAAGAAACCTCTTATTTTGATGAAAGGTGAGGAGAAACTGGAACAGTTTTGGTGTGGATTAGATGAGATATGTAAAAGGGTCAAGCTTTAAAGGTGAGCTGCAGAATTTTACTTTTCTGAGACTTAGTTCTGGCTTTGATTTTCCTGCTTTTCTTCCAGGTTGATCAATGTTCCCATGGGCATTGGAACAAATGAAAGGAGGTACTCTGATGTTGCAGTGTAGCATGAGACACCATCAAATGTTTCATCTAACATGAAGGGCTCTGCATTATTACTTGATGATATGACATTTATTCTGCTATCAGAATTCACTATTCTATTAACTAGGTCTATTCACTGCTAACTATTAGTGTGCAAACACGAGTATGACAATGTCAGACCAAATCTCCACGTCCAGCTGTAATTTTGTGTCTTGCAGTAGCCAGTAACTGCTGCCTACAGAGAAACATTAGGAGACTATCATACAGTACTGCCTTCACAATATATTCTACCAGCTTCTTATGACTTGGCTTCATGAACCAGATGCAGTTTCTTCGTAACACTGTCAATACATTTCCATTGAGACCTATTAAATAGAGTGACATTACCTCTTTTTCCCCTGGACTTCAAGGGAGAACTAGGTTTTGTTCTGCATTTTGCTTTCAACCCTTTAAAACATATTGTAGAATATGTGCGTGAATCTTCTTTACCCTCTTTATTCATCCCACAAGGCTAATAATGCATTCTTCTGTGAGAATGTGAAAATAACAACAGAAGAACTTGGTAACTTTGCAGAGATAGTAATTTATGTTGAACTGTAGATCACTTTATGTTTTATTCTCAAATCTGCATCCTTATGTGTTGAATCCATGATAAATACTCCCTTTAATGTTCTCTTTTTCCCCATAACTTCTATTGAGAAGCTAAGAGCTGCTGGAGGACTTAATGATTATTTGGTCCGTGCATAGATCCTTATGTAATAAAATTACTGTGTAAAAGTTGGTTCTCATAGGAAAAGCACATTCTTCTCTCCTTCTGTGGCTGAAAAGGTTGGTAAGGAGAAACTGAAGTATCATTGGCATCTTGTCAAGGGCAGAGGGATATTGGTAGCATGGGAATGCCTGGGTCAGTCAGACTCATCCACTGCCAACTCCAGCACTGTCAGTGGAAGATGCTGTTGAAAGAGAGCAAACAAGTCTGGTCTCTTTTGGTATTCTACTGCCCTCCTGCTCCTGCAGCATCTAGCTCTGTTGCTCTTGGGATGACTGATATCTGTGCTGAGTACTCTGTGGTCCTGCTGTCTATGAGTTTGTTTAGTCCCTTTTTCCACTTGCTGATGATGTTTCTCTGCACGATGTCCTGGACCAGCAAGCCTCCTGTGTGAAGAAATGTTTCATTTTATCTGCTTTAAATTTGTACTATACTAATTCCATCAAATATCACTAGTCCTGGTGGTGTGGGATTTAATGAAGAAGTTACACTGGAAGTTCAGTTGTTTCTCACTGAGATGTAATGTGTGGATGAAAGTAATAAAAATTAAGCAATACACTGGAATAATTATTTGTGTCTGCATTCTGACATGCACATAACTTTTGAATAGTGCATAGTGAGCTTCCTTCATTCTCAGAAAGTGCTAGCGTCTTTAAATTTAGCATTTTAGTATTTCACGATGTGCATTTGGATTGTCTACTCTTTCCCATTTGTAAGTGTGAGAGAAAACCTGTCGTAAGCCCAGCTTTTAAAAAGCTGGCCTGCTACCAAGGTTTGTGCATACCTGTCTTGAGAGGAAAAAGACTGACAAGATCTCAGTTCATGGTTCAGTTCACGGAGCTACAGGCTTCCTTGTTGCTTTCAGTAAATGCTTTTGTGGCTGAGCTTTTGATCTGCAAAGTGGAGTTAGTAGTAACTTTATTCAAGTCAGGGCTCCTCATAAAATTTACAGTATGTAGCAGATGTGTTGTGCATAAATACTGTGACTGGAATTTTAGGGGTAAAACTGCAAATGAAAAAAATCACAGACTGATGATAAATGGGTTAAATTACACAAATACAAATACTGAGCAAAGAATCTTATCAACTCTTCATGGTTTTTCCTCTTCACAATCTCATTGAATTTAACTAGTACCATGCCTGTAAAATGAAGTTTGCATGGTATTGTCTGAATGTCAATGCAAAGCAGATGGTGTCAACTTTTTATTTATCAGCTGGGCTGCTACATCTAAGCCCCAATTTATAATAGTTTATGCCTTTCTGGTCTTTCTTCTGAGGAGAAAGTTCTGTGCATTCCAGAGCAGTGGTTTTATGATGTTGGCAAATATTTGTAAGAGGCTGAGTCTGTCAGACTTCTGTTTGCTTGTAGCCTAATCCAGTTTGAATCTGAACCTCCCCTGCTGAAAGATGCACTCTGTTCATCTGCACGGCGCCTTGAAAGAATTCATGTGTTTGAATTTTTCAGTTTCTCTTTCTGGATCCAGAGACAGAAATTGCTCACTTGCTGCTTGTCACAGCAGATATCAATGTTGTGACATGTAAAGAGATCTCATGAGCCAGGATATTCTGCATTCCTCTCTGTCACCAGTTAGAGAGCTCACCAAGAAGTAAAATATGAACTTCTAAAGGAATGGAGAAGATAGGGCTTCTGGGTTTCTTTTTGTTTCTATTTCATGGTGAACTTTAAAGGGGCTCTGTAAATAGGTAAGGTGGAAAGGACTGTAATTTCCTGAATTTCCCCAAGAGTGTCTGTACTGTGCTGGACCAGTACAGATCCACCACAGCCAGTACACAGAGTTCCCATGGTGGGCAGTAAGGAGTGTTTCATGAGGATCATAAGAACTTAGGTGAATGTTATAAACTTGATTGTGAACACTCAGTTCCCATCAGTTGGTGCTTACCATCCCCCTAGGCTGGGCACTGCTGGGAACACTGACTTTGTGGACATATCTCCTATCACTCAGCATAACCCCCTTTTAATCTCTTTGCGTTCTTGCATTTGAGATCTTTTGCCATGTGTTCTTCTGCCATTTTTTCTGTTGCTGCTGTCTGCATCTTCCACAGAGTCAGGCCTCTGGCAGAGGGGCAAAAGGATGAGGTCGTTTGTTTGTCCTTGGTGCTGAGGGAATCTGGCTCTGGTGATGTAGCTTTGGAGAAGAGAGAGAGGTTTAGGAGTCCTTAACATGGCAGTGTTGTCCGCAGGTTTTGTAACCTGTAGCAGATTTGGTGTTGAATTAGTTTTAAATCAGACAAATAGAAATCTGTAGCGAGCCCTGAAAGAAAGATCTTGAGAGATTGCTAGTGACTATTACAGGGAGAGAACTGACAGGCAGTTCACTACAAGTCTTTGTGCGTCTTCCCCTTAAGGCAATCTTAAAAATATAATGAGTGTTAGTACGTTTTACTTAGTTCTCTTGGAAATGTCGTTGTAACAAGTTTAATTTCATTTTTTTCAGCATGTTGGGTTTTCCCCACACAACTCTTTGAGGTAGCAATATCATCTCTGTGGTCCACTTACTACTCTTGCAACAAAGCAAGTTTGTGCTTGCTTTTGAGCTGCCACTTTTGCATGGGAGCATTTTTCTTTAAGTGATGGCACATGCTGGAGGGTTAATCCCATACTGAAGCTCTTAGGTGTTACTGTATTCCTCCTCCTACTAAAAAATGTGAACTTAATCAAGTAGTAATTAAAAAGGTGTTGAAGGGAGGGGGAAGAGAGAACCTCTATTAGGAATTCCTGAGTTCTTCAGGCATATTGGTTTAAATGGCCAAATCAACCAAAATATAATTTTAAACCCACTTCATAAGTATTGTTCATACACTTCCCTTTGAAATGGGAGAGGCTATGAATAAAGTGTTGTGCAAAGACTCTGAAGTCTGCAGCTAGAACTGAGGGCCCCCTGGGCAGGACAGTGTTAACGAAAAAAGACATTGTACTTTAAAAATGAAAAAAGCTTTCCAAAATTGGGAAGATTAAATACAAGTGAGATGTGGTCTGTGTTTGCTCCCTTCTGATTATAACCTTCATACTGTCCCCATGTATTTTACCTGATAAAGTCAGGAGATGTTTATTAACATTTGACATACGCTGTGCTAACTAATGTGTAGGAATCAGCTTGCTTTAGTTTTTCAGTTATGCAGCATTTTGTGAAAGAATGAACAAATGAGATCAGATACTTTTTCCTTTTTCAAAGGAACAGAGGAGAAAAATCTTTTTCTTTGTATATCAGAACTATAAAATTGTACATAGCTCAGAGGACATGTATGCCCTGAACATAGGCTTTTGCTGTAAACTAGTTTACAGCAATTTTTAATTTGAAACATTTACACCTTAGGAAAAAGGAAATGTAGTAGAGTTGTGGGTTCCTGTGCCAAAAATGTGGTGCCTGAAAGAAAATCGTGTTCTTCTATTCATAACCATTTTAATCTTTCTGCAGACCTACAACAGCTGTGCCAGACTGTGCTTAAACCAGGAAACAGTGTGTCTAGGAAGCACTGCTATGAAGACTGAAAATTGTGTGGCCAAAGTAAGTAAGAGAACGGCTTTGGTTTTGAGAGGTTTTCAGCAAATTGTTCATTGGTAGTCAGAGAAAAGTTCTTGTTAAAAATTACAGTTAGGAAAAAATATTTAAGCAGAAAGTAAGTATTTTGGGTAGGTTTTTCTGTTCTTCAGTGTAGAGATTTCAGACTTGCTGGTTTTCTCTGCTGGAAAGGATTACTTGAGTCCTCAGCTATCTAGGATTGAAGGGTTCATTCTGCTATACAAGTAATAGGCTTTTCCAGTGGGATGACCTATGCCTGCCATGTAATTAGCCATGGCAACTTCAAATGATAAATGTCCAGATACTAAAAATACTCCATGTGAGCTCTTTGTATCATGGTTCCTTTCTTAGCTGCCAGAAGGAAGGTGCAAAAAGAAAGACCTTTCGATTAAAATACAGTGAATGCTGTATTTAAAGAAAAGGGAGGAGGGAGATACCACAGTCATAATGGTAAGAAAATGGATTTATTAGCCTATCACAGAAAAATAATTTCTTGAGAATTGGGTAGATGTGGTTGAAAAAGGTGAGGTGCCATTAGCCACCCTCTTTTCTTAAAATACAGCATAACTAGAGTAAAACAATGTACATCTAGGGCTGTTTGTGAATGGAGAACATTTGAACCATGATGCAGTATGTCTAGAAAGACTGTGCAAAGGATGCATTTAGCCTTGTGCAAGCTTTGTATTTCCACTGAAAGGAAGTTTAGAATGGGCATGCAGGACAGATCAGTGCATGCAGCCATCTGTTACTAAAACCAGCTGGCATTTTGTTGCTCCTCTGTCACCACAAACCTGACCACTCAAAACCCTGTTTTCTCTTTTGGTTATTTTATTCCTTGATCTTCTTGAAGTCCATTTTTTTCATACTTGGAATGGTTGTTAAAGGTGCCTTGTCCCTTCAGGGGCCACTTTTGTATTGACCTTTAAGATAATTTTCCAGCTAAATCTTCTCTGGGATTTTGCTGGTGAAATTTGGATGTCCCATTACTTTTGATTCTTGTCAGGGAATTGGCTATCATAAAAGTTTGTCATGGTGCTTGCAGGTGGCTTAGCACTCATAAACTGTGCTTGCCTACCAGTTGCCTCCCACTGCAGAAGCACTTCTGAGGGCAGCTACCAGTCTTGGTACAAAGAGCTGATATTTAATACCAGCACTTCCATTCTTGAGATGACTGGTATTGCACACTTCTTCCTAAGGTGCTTTATGATACAGAGTAGGTGAAACTCTCTCAGCAGAGCAGCTCTGGCTGAGTTGTCTCATCATGCAGCATCATTCTGATGCCATAAAGCAGCTCACAGCAAGCTAACTGGAGTAAGTCCATTCAACCCCATCTGCTCTATAGTGTCTTGTTTGACCTAATCGCTTCACTAAAGAGCAAGGAGGTGCAAGAAGTACAGCCAGTTTAAGTGGTGCCTCTTTTAAATGAAATTACATACTTTAACATCTTAATGCCCTAAATTGTAAACTCTCCTAAAGTTATGTTTTTGGTGGGTGAGAGGTGTGGGTAGGGCTGAAGGCAAGAGCAGCAAGACTTGTTTCATGCTATTGAGAATGAATGTGAAGCGTCACCCTGGAGATGAAAAAGTGTATGTTTTTAAGTATCTTGTCTCTATATGCTGTTGGACAGTATATGTGTATGTATGCTCTAGGGCAATCTGCCATCACACATATATCAAAAAACATATATATATATACATATACATGCATATATATACACATTTGTATACACACACACACATATATATATATATGAAAAAACATAAAGACTTTTCTGGGGATACAATTCCTCTAGTACTAGCTTGCCTGACTGTTGTACTCCTTTCCTTTGCCTTCTTAGCTACAAACCAAATGAAATAGGTTCTAAGAAAGCTTGCCTTTCAAATTCCAGAAGTATTGAAGCATTTATAAATCCAGCTATCTAAATGCAGATGGCTCAGTGATGGCATAGGCAAATGGCACAACTGTTAAATGTTCCCTAGGTGAAGGGCTTAAGTGGGATTTAAAGAGTTCAGAGGCCTTCTCCTAGGCTGCATGCACGTGACGAGTTTTATCCTCCATGATTGATGTGTTTTACAGCCTTGGACTTTAAAATGTTTTGTCGGGAAGGTGAATACTGGAAAGTATAACCACAGGTTTCATTATCTGCAGCACTTCTCCGAATGTATTTTGAGGGCTTCAGTTTTCTTTTTAAACTTGCAGTGAAACACAAAAAGGATTACTTTGGAAGTTGTGATTTACCTTTTTTGATTCTGCAGTGCAGTATCAGCCCTGACTGGGAGCCATAGTGTGCATTATCACATGCTTGTCAGATGTGTCAGTCAGTCTGATGATGATGGTTTTTCTAAAAACAAAATTTCTGATTCTGCATCTACTTTCAGAAAAGAAAACTGTACTCTGTTAACACTGTATAAATGGCACCTATTCATTGTGTATTTGATGTTTGTAAAAGTTTGTTCAAAGAATGAAATGTGGTTTCCCTTGAGGCCACACACATCAACATTGAGGTACCTTTTCTCAGACTGAAGCGCTGTCTGTCCGTTAAACTCTCTCATGAATGAGAGTTTCTGTACAGGATATCCAGATATAAATTACCAACCTAACAGGTGGCATTCTTCCTAAAATGGAGGGGGGGGAAGTTTGTAATAAATAGATATGCATATTCAGATATGGAAAGTAGCATAGGACCACAGTCTTTTTGACAGCTCAAGGAAGTTCGTGTTTGTTAGGAAACTTTGTTTGGTTTTGTATGCGATGTCATGCTGCCTTTGCAGCCATGTGCTCAGTCACTTTTGCAAACCTATGAATTATTTAGTTTTATTCAGACATTTAAAAATAAAACTAGAATATCATGTTCTGATGAATCTTTGTGTCTCGTTCGTAGCCTTGCTTTTCTGGTATTTGTCCTCTGAAACTCCACTGGTAGGACTTGGGGATGCTTGGGTAGAAGCCAGAAAGGAGCAGTGGAAATTGTTTAAAGTGTGCACGTGTTTTAATTGAAGAGGTGGGATCTTAAATTAAAAATCATGTATTGTGATGCACAGATGCCACATGTGTCATCAGCTAACATTGTTTCTCTCCCATCTGTAGGAGTTTCTCTGTTACTCTTTTAGCATCTTTTTGCCCATTGCTTGTGAGTGATCAACAAGTCTGATGTATATCCAATATAATGTCATTGAAAAGGAAATGAAGTCTCTATTTTTGTTTTTATATGTGTGTACACACACAAAGATATATATCGAAACTCCTCCTGTTTGTCTCTTTAGAAACCAAAAAATGTCTGTGAGAGGATTTCTTTTTATGATACTACTTGTGTGCAACCACAAGTGGACAGCTTTCTCAGGAATTGGTGCTAGGTGCTTAAATAAGGTAGAAATGTAGCATGAACCTGAGCTCCAAGGACAGGGTGTTTGATTTTAATGAGGCTTATTGAAATCCAGCCAAATGAGCATCTGTTCCTATTGTTTGTTCCATATTTTGTAAGCCAGTATCTTCAGGCCAGATAATGGTGTTGGTGTGTGCTTCATCCTCAATTAGAGAGGGACACAGTTAAAAGTCCCTTGGCATCTGGTATGTCACTAGGATTCTTGTGATGCTCCTGGGTGTGCAAACAAGTTTCAATTCTGTTCTGTACCCAGGGCCACTTACTTTCTCTGGTGACCTTCACACTTTATATTTGATATGTGGTGAGGGATGCTCTGGTGTGTTTCCAGTCTCCTTGGCTGAGTCTTTGCATGGATGGGTTATATGTAGTCCTGTTTTCAAACAGAGGTCTTTCATAAAGCCCACTCTTTCATAATGTGGGCAGTGTTAGGTTTGAGTTTTGCTCTTTGCTTGGGGTCTGTCAGATTTTGCATTTCCCTGGATCGTGGAAATATCTTATTGATTCAAAGGGCTCTTTTATTTCTCAGCAAGAGACTGGTGTACAACTCATATCAGAGATCTACAGTCAATACCCATTTCCTGCATTTGTTAGATAGGTCTTTTCTGTTTATTAGCTCCTACAGTCAGTTCCAGTTTGTCTGTATCTGCTATACAAAGGAGTGTTCTCAGTTTTTATTTTGGACATTGAATTCTTTCCTGCTTGTGCCAGAGATAGGCACCCTGTGGAATACCTGCCACAGACAGCACTGAGACACCTTTGAAATGGCATACAGCATCCCCAGGTTTCTACTTGGTTCTGAACTCAGCAGCAGCTGGGAGAGGTTTTCTGCCTCTATTTTTATCTAAGGGAAATTGGAGGAAGAAAAATGTAATCATGCACACCACCCTTGAAAAATTAGACTTCTGTTTCAGGCCACTCCTTGCTACTCACGTGTGATAACTAGTCCTGCTTTTTAAGGTCCCGGCAAACCAAGGGACTTCTCAGGCTCTTTTAAGCATCTTGAGTCTTCTAGGGAATCTTTGATTACTGCTCATTGTAATGATAAATGTGCAGTGGTTAATGTATTGAACTGGTAGTCTAGAAAGGGTTTATGTATACCCTTTATCTTCAGCACTGTGATTTTATTCTCTGTGGCCATGTTGGGTTTTTGTTGCTTCTCTTCAAAAAGGGAACTGAATAATACTCTTCTTGGAGAAATGTTGTGAAATGTATGATACTTTTTTGATGCTTTGATGAAAAGTCCTGCTTAAGTATGTAGAGATGTTCTGCCTGCTCGGCAAGCTGCGTGTAGTGTACAGGGGGAGAGAGCTCTGTTCTGCTCAATTCTGGAAACACAGAACAGGCCTTGGCACTTACAGTATGCCATGTGAAATTTCCTTTCAAAGATGCATCTTATTATTTAGCTATTGCTACACGTTTTACACTCAAGGATGATTCAGCTAAAGCAAGGAGTGGTGAAAGTAGCTGGTAATTGAAATCTTCCTTCCTTTGTCAGTTCTTTCTGCATTGCTACTTCCAAATTTTTAGAACAAACATAGTCAGCACAATAATAACACTGAGCCAAGAATTTTTATATTATAAATTCAAAGGAGAAACCACAAGT